CCGACTGTCTAACCTATATCGAAAGGGAGTCCACATTTGCCGACTAACTACGTCCAATTGCCGACTAAGGGTCACATTTGCCGACTAAAGGTCCAGTTTGCCGACTGAAAATCATTGATGGGGGGGTGTTACACCCCCCTATCGCGCCGGCCTTGTATATATATATATATATATATATATATATATATATATATATATATATATATATATATATATATATATATATATGTATATATATATATATATATATATATATATATATATATATATATATATATATATATATATATATATATATACTATAAATATATATATATATATATATATATATATATATATATATATATATATATATATATATATATATATATATATATATATATATATATATATATATATGTATATATATATATATATATATATATATATATATATATATATATATATATATATATATATGTATATATATATATATATATATATATATATATATATATATATATATATATATATATATATATATATACATATATATATATATATATATATATATACATATATATATATATGATAGTGTATTAAAAGAAGCTGTTGGCAAAGCTCAGTCTAGCTACTTAATGACCTAAAAATTTTGAAGATCGATGCTATCTGTCATGTGATATTTTCTGCTACTCTTTTGATCTTCATAAAATACCTAATCTTCTTTCTATTTTGATCTTCGTGATATCAACAGCTGTTCATATGCATTTGCTCCTGAAATGTTACAAAGTCGTTCAAGTTCATTACAAAATTTGATCATTTTTTTCTTTTCCAGCTATAACATTTCAACTTGGGTGCTCAATTTTCTTTATTTTCACCTTTTTCCCCAACAATTTTATTAACAATGAAAGGCAAGAGTTACCTGAAATTGAAATTCCAGCTTTTTCCCAAACTTTCTTAAGCTCATCAAGAACAAGTTTAGAAATACATCTCGCAGAATCAAAACGTAAATGAGATTATTTAAAGCTTGACAAGTTATCGGTTTCAAAATAACAAATTAACCAACATTGGTTATTTTTTCAGAGGTTTATCATTATAATAAAATATTCTCTCATCAAATATACAAGTTTTAAAATTATTTTTAAAATTCGCTAACTGATATCTCATCTAACCTTTTTTTTACATAAGTTTATAAAATTTAATATACTTGTGATGGTATATATATTTCCCACTTCTTTTATATGAAACAATAATTCTCAGATTTTTGTTAGGAAAAGGTGTCAACCAATCAGAATGCAAGAAAATAAAAAAAGAACCAATCAGAATCAATCGCGTTGATCGTGTCGAGATTTTTGACTAGTGTTGCGATGCGTAGAGCCTTATCGAGTTTTGTCGAGCCGAATCGAGATTCATTGAGAAAGATTAAAAATATTAATTTTGTAATTTGTTTTTATATTTTTTTATATAAATTTTTTTTATTTTCTTTATTCGATACATATTGAGAATTCTCTTCAAAAAAATTTTTTTTTAATGTAAGAGAGTTCATTTTTGTTTGTAAGCTTTTTTCTTGCCATTGTGAAAAGTCTTCTCGATTTTTGTTTAATATTGTTTTTATTAATTCTTCAGTACTACTGTTTGAAGAGTCTTCTCTATAGTTGCTCATTATTGTTTTCAATAACTCCTCAGTACTTTTGTTTAGTTTTATATTATTCATTATTTGAACTAAAAATAAAAATGAAATATAATCAAAAATATTATTACAAAAAACATTAATTTAAATTTAATTGTTTTAAATATTCTTTAGCTTTCATTTTGTATACTTTGTTTTTATTTTCGTACCGTAAAATGAGGTGACTTTGACCAAATTTAAAATCATTTTTCTTTCAAAATTTAATTAATAATAATTAATATGTTAATATAAATTGTATTAGATTTGTATGATGTCAAAGAAATAAAAAATCAAAATTAAAGATAAAAGAATTACAACCTGGACCCTTTTGTTTTAATTTTAATGGTGACTTTGGCCACATAAAAGGAAATTATAAATATTGATTAATCATTTCATATTTTAGATATTCACTGATACATATTTTACATATTCACAGATATTAAGTGATTTGTTTTTAAGAAAAAAAAATATTAAAAACGACAGCTTGAAACTAACTTACAGATTTATTTAAGACATAAATCACAAAGAAACCTTATTAACATCTAAAAAACCTATTTATCAATCATCAAACTATCCGTGCTAGAGTTATTCAATAGATTATCTGTAATTATTTGCTGTTCAACAGTGATAATTTGATTTTTTTTTACAACAGCCATTTTTTCTTTTTCTTTTTTATATTTTTAGCTGCTTGCATATTAACTACACCAATTGATGATACGCTTTTTCCGGGGACAAAGGAGACTTTATGTCACTTTTTTTAGGGGTATATGATCATCATCTCTAGTTTAAACTAAATATTGTATGAAAGAATCACTGACAATAAAACCTGTTTCCACAGTGACATCTTTATTTGTAAATGTATTTTGAGAAAGTCTAGCACCTGCTTTCGATGAAGTGGGTATAATCCAGTTTTTCTGAAGCCTGCCTTCATACTTTCATAACCAGGTTCTTTAATTTTTTTTCTAGTCTTTTGAAAGGAAAGGAGCTTTACGTCCTTCATCACTTCCTTCTTTTACCCACTGAACTTTCATTATGTGAAAATATGCAACACCCAATGGCTGCATTAAATGCATGAATTTGGCTGCATTAAATGCATGAATTTAGCTGCATTAAATGCACGGAGGTCCAATAAAATTGATGTTGTTTTCTTCACACAAAGACAGTACATATGTATTTATATGTGACGACAAATTGACTCCAATTATAAAATATTTTCCAAAAGTTTTTTTAGTTCAAGCAACAATAAAGATTTAAATCAATCTGTAAAACAACTGAACTCAAACTATCCACTCTTTGAGCAATTATAACTTGCTTCTTTTGGTCCATTTTCTGTCTAAGTTGTCCACATTGAATCTACTTTGTATATAATATATGGAGAAAGGATATGCCCTTCTGCATTACCACAATATATCAAAGATGTAGCAGACTTTGTTAAATTAATTATCTTCTCAAAATGTTTTAATCCTTGCTTTGTTATTACTAGGTAATTATCAGGGTCATCAATTAAATTAGTTTCATTGTAATTCCTAATGTTTGATGGAGGAACCCCACAAGTTCAGGAGTGATATTATCAATAAAACTTGTTAATAATAACATTATCTACTTCTGCCCTCTTTCTTTTAATGTTACTTACAAATCTAACACTTGATTGTTTATTTTTGCTAATGAATGATTTTACCAATTCAACACCAGGCATATTTCCTGCAAACTGCCTATAAACATTCCTTTACGGTTTGCATAAGACTTCACAATACAGCGTAAATCATAACAGTCAACTGGGAATCCAAAAGGAGACATAGTTATAACATAGCTTGCAAAATTTTCTTCTTTGATTTCACTAAATATTGTGCAACTGCCTGGTTTTTTAATATATATACCTTACAGTTTATTCTTTGATGTTGTTAAAAGAATTTTAAAGGTTAAGCAAGCATCTGTTTGTGTTAAATTACCACTTCTTACTTCATGTAAATATTTAGTTAACGTTTCTGGGTGTGTGGAGTATAACCACGACTACCAGCAACACGTTTATATATTTTTGGTATTTTTTCTTTGGTATAAATACAATTTTATATGAGTATTTTATCCTAAAAACAAAAATTGAAAATTAAATCAATAATATTATATCTATAACCAACATTTTCTGAAAAATAAATTAAAAATATAATATTAAAAATCAAATAATAACATTTTTTCACTTTGGTTAAAGTCACTCTAAGTTGTAGCCAAAACCTACCCATAAATTTTACTTAAAGTTGTTTTTGATTAGAATTGTTATAAATTTTTTTAATTAGAATTGTTATAAATTATAAAAACAACTATTACACAATACTCATCTTATTTAATTTCCTATATGTTATAGTATCACAACCCAATATTTGAGTGGGTTGTAATGTTATAACAAATAGTAAATAAAATATATATGTCAAATTTATATTATAAATTTAACAATTTTTATAGACTCTAATAAACAAACAAAAAATATTATATCAGTAGTTCCGCAAATAACAATTAATTTAAGTAATAAATAAACAGAACAACTTTACTTTTATGATAAACTTAAGTTTGGAAGAAGTCGCAAAAGAACAAGGTAATTTCTAAAAGGTAAAACCTTTTTTATAAATTAGCCAAAGTCCTACAAGGCCAAAGTCACCTCATTTTACCGTACATATCGTTAAAGTATTTATGTATTTCTTTGAAAGTTTCATTAAAATGTTTTTTGAAATAATTATTTTCAATCCATTTTTGGTAACGAATTTCTTCTTCTTTTTTACTTATTTAAACATTCTTCGCAAGAGTTGCATGTTAAAACTACTATTGCTATTCTTTATTTATTATCTATTACACACCTTTTTTATATAAATCGATTTCTTAGCGTGTTTTTTTTTTTTTTTTTTTTCGCTTAACATAGTTTACATTTGTTTTATATCTAAAAAATAAAATTAATTCGAATCAACAAAGAGTTGTTTTTTTTTGTTAACAACGGTTTTTAACTAAGAAAGTACAAATACAAAGGTAAGTACAATTACTTTTTTTTATCATTGTTAGTTTTGTTTATTCGTAAAAAAAACTTTTTTTATCTTTAAAAGATGTTATATACTACTAATCCGTTTATTATTATTTTTTAATAATAAGTTTTGATTCGCTTTAACCCGACTCAATGAACCTCGATCCGTCTTGATTCGGCGCGATAATATCGATAAATCTCAATCTGGCTTTACACATATCGATACGGCTTAACACGATTCGAAAATATCGACACGATCAATGCTTTCACGATCAACGCAATTCGAGAATCTCGACACGATCAACGCTTACGACCCGTAGTGATATGACAAATATTGGCTTCTTTTTGCCCCAGTCATGAGTTTAATTTTTATATTGAGTAGCCGTGGCGTAGTGATTAGAGCATGGTACTCATTGTATAAGGGTTGCGAGTTCGAATCTTAAATTAAAATAATAAAAATGTTTATATAAATAAGACAAAATTGTATGCATTTTTAGTTAGATAAAAAAAATATTGTCAAATACATATTAGTCAGTATTGTTCTCGGGTCAACCAATGGTTGTTATTCAGATAATAATGAAATGAACTTCTTTTTTGTTGTTGCTATAGACTTGTTGGCACGATTTTCTAATTTTTTTTTCTTAGCCAATACCTTTTTTTCTTCTTTTTCTTTGAGTCGCTTAACAGCATTAACAAATCGCAGTTATTTTCTTTCGCATTTTTTTCTTTCCTGTTGGATTTTTTCTTGATGAAATTTCAGCTTTGCTGAGTATGCTTCTTAAGAAGTTAAAACGAAGTATTTAAGCTAACCTTTTCTGTTTGCAATCTTTTTCCGTGCGGTGGCCTTAGGATATGCAAAGAAATCATCTCTCCATCACTTGCACTGATAAAAACATATATATTCAATAAAAGAACAAGTATTTAAATAATTTTAAAAAATTTTATTTATTTTAAAACTAAAAATTTATTAAAGGTTACATAGTTGCTATGCAACTATTGATCACTTGATCAAATAAAATGAAAAAAAACTGTGAAATGATTGACTTGCCAGGGTAGGAAGAGTTTGCAAACGGAAACTGTAGTAGATTTAAAGTTTGATGGTTCTAAGAATTCCTTTTTTTTTTGCTTTGTAAGATTGGTCAAAGTATTCACAAAGCAGTCAATATTTTTTTTTTCAACTGGATTGACTAAATATGCAAGCTGATTATTACGAACAACAGTCTCTGCTTCCAAAATAGAAGTGTTGCTTTGAAACGAACTGTGAATTGCATAATCTTTTTTAGTGCCATTTTGTAATTGTTCTAGATAATTAGCAACTTTTCCAGCATCTATAGAAGCATCAACGTCTGGAAAATTAATTTCTTGAACAGTTGAAGGTTGAAATTCCTAAGAAAATAATAAATAATACTGTTGAAATGGAAGTTAGTAAACTTTCATTCATGCTTTCATTCAGAATTTTTATCAGTTAGTACATAAAATATTAGTCACAGTTGCTAGCTAAAGTTAAAATAATAATTTTTATTGTAAAGTAGTATTATCAAAAACACGATAGTATAATACTAACCAAAGAACAATTGTTTTCAGTTGTATTAACTGATATATCCTCAGCTATGTGTAGATAGTTTGGTAAATATGCATCACTAGGGATAGCCTGAGGATTAAATGGATAAAATCCACACGACTTGAACCCAGATGTCATGTTGCTAAAAGTCATTGCTTTTTCCCAAGCTGAAGCAAATATCAATGAAAAATTTGAACGACAAGTAATAACTCCTGGAAACTGACCCATCAGATCTTGTGCTGTAAAGCGATAATAATCCTTCAGTGGCTTGAATAAGGTGCGGTCGCATGGTTGAAAAAAAAAACATAGCACAAAAAGGAAAAATTTCAAATTCTTTCTTACCAATAATTATCAGGATAAGAAAATGCAATAGCACACAAAGTTTACTTATTTGCAATAGTTTCTTTGTTTTTTATCTAGCTAATTTATTTAGTTTTGATGAACATGAGCTTTTTACACAATTACTCGACGCAGAGCCATAGCAATTTATTTTTTAATTAATTTCCTTAATAACAATACACAGAGGAAGAGTACTGTTTTGAAGGCAATCAAAAATAAATAACGTGGATTCCATCAATTTTTGTCAAAGCAATTATCAAGTAAGTTTAGGGTTCATTTTGACGATAATGCCAAGGATGTTGAATTAAGGGTAACTAATTTATTAAATAATTTCCTCAATAATATATAGAATAAAAATACATAAAAAATACTCCTTTGTAAGCATTCAAAATGATTATGCTCTTAATATGTATAGTTACGAAGTTTTAAGATTTTGTTTTTCAATTATTTTTTAAATATGTCATCCTAATTTAATAAAAAAAAAATGGGGGTCACGGCGAAAGGTTTTTATAAACGATTATAAATGTTATTATAATCAGAGATTAAATAATGGAAAACGAAATTAAATTATAATTTAACATGCATAATAAATAATTATGCATTTAAATTAATGTCTGTTAGCCAGAGTTATTAGGCATTTATGTTGATGATATTATTGTGATATGGAATCTGAAAACAGATATAAGAAAGCTAGAGCTAAGAAAAGACGTTTTTATAAATGTAAATCTCTAGACATCAACATTACTCCAGATGATTCACCAACAGTTGCACATACATCAGCTTCTTCTAACAAAATCGATTTATCTTTTTTGGAAGTAAAAAATACAACTCAAAAGGAAGCCTGTAATGATAACTTTAATTTAATTGTAAATTCAAATTTGCTAATTAATTTACTAAGCATGATTGGTCGGTGCCCAAATTGCACAGCTGAAATTAAAGTTTTTCATGACGTGGAAAACAAAAAAAGAATTGCTCACTTTTTCCTTTTCTCGTGTAACGAATGTGATTCGAATACAAATTTTTTAACTTCTAAACTAATTATAGAGGATCATGGAATAAATGGTCGAAAATTCTATGAAGTAAGTTACTTGTTAATAATGGCTTTTCGTGAGATAGGTTGTAGTTATACTGCTATGAAAAGGTTTTGCGCTATTATGAATATGCCTTCACCAATGAATTTAAAACCATTTGAGACTGCAAACAAGAACTTACAGGATTCATATGTTGAGGTAGCAGAAAATTCAATGAGAAATGCAGCAATCAGAAAAGATGTGCTCAATGATACCTACCATAAAGATGCAGTTGTCAACGTATCTGCAAGTACAGATGGATCATGGCAACGTTGTGGGTATACATCTCTAAATGGTGTATATCTACCCTCATATCTAACGAAAAGTGTGTTGACATTGAAGTTCTTTCCAAAATGGGTAAGTCTTGCAGTTTTTGGGAAAAGAAACAAGAGTCAGCTGACTATAAATTGTGGAAACTTAGGCACAACTGTAAAATTCCAATTAAATGCTTCTCCGCGTTGCTCTGTGATAAGACCATATGGACTTCTTGGGGTACCTAAAAAAAGAAAAAAAAGAAAAGAAAAAAGCTTTGCTGCTGGATAAAGTGCTTGGAGTTGATTCTTCCACTTTACCTTTATAGTCAACTTTACCGCGCGCACAATAGCGCAAGCGTGCATCGAAGTTGCACGTAAAACAAATTTAAAATGTATGAACCAAAAATTTTTATTTTATCATATAACATGTTTTTTACGAATTATGTTTTAATTTTTACTTTTATTGAGTTTTTGCCATTTTTTGATTGTCTTTTTTTTGAGTCACTGTGCAGCGATTATCACATTCACGGCGCTCACTAGAGTGTTTAAGCAAAGGTGTTTACGCTAGGTATAATTCCAACAGTTTCTTTCTATCCTAAAAATGAGTTTTGTATCTAAGGCGTATTTGCAATTTTTAAAGTAAGTTTTTGATATTGTGCAACCAATATTTAAGCTATATAGTTTAATTTTTTTTCCATTAAATATATTTCTGTTCTACTTTTGACAAATGTATTTTATAGTAATGTGGTAGTTGCAATATTGGATCAGTATTAAAATCTACTAATACAATTAATACAATTAAATACAGCAACCTTTTATATAAAAACTATATAATTTTTTAGAAAAATGAATAATATTCCAAATGAATAAATAATATCAACAAACAAAAATAATATTCAAAAATTACTCAAGACCTACCCAAGTTCTGCTTGAATTAGAAGTGCATGCTGCATATGTCTAAACTTAGTTAAACTTTGTTAGTGCTATTTTTACCTTTCAAATTTTCCTTATAAACAGTTACACTCTTTTTCTCAATTTAAACCAATATTGTTTGCCAAGTAACAAAAAAATTATTTGAAAAAATTATTTAGCTAGAAGTTAATTAGTCATAGATATTGAGTTTATACTCTGGCTAGTGAGGATATCTCTGATCATAAATTTCAAATTGTGGTACTTTTGGTAGAGAAAAGTGGGGCACCATAATACATGGGACACCATGAAGCATTGTAATTGTGGAGGCATTTTAGAAGTTATGACGACTACTTTCATATTGTAAAAATAGTTATTACTAGAGCTATGTTTTGACAACAAAATTATATCATTTAATATCATTAGGCCTGCGAGAGGTGGAATTTTATGTTTTTTTGATGATACTATAATTTATTAGTTTTTAATTTTGTAAAGTTTGAAGGTATTTAATAAACATTATTTTCTAAACTTTAATATATTGGCTCTTTACTTCATTAAAAAAAACTATCAAAAAAAATAAGTACCCCTTACTTGCTAACAGAAAACAATTGTTTTCTGTTAGCAAGTATGGGGTATTTATTTACCAAGTATGGGGTAGCTTGATAAAGCATTTGTGGGGGCCCTAAAACTGTAGAACAGTACTCTATTGTGTTGTAAACAATTCTAAAAATCATATCTTATAATATTTACTGTCAATTTTTAAGAGATTTATGTAAATATAATACTAGGAGATCTAAATTTCATTACAAAGCTATTATTTATTGGCGCTTAAGAACAACATTTAAAACAATATATTATCTGGATTTCTGAAATGTGATTTGGACAATTGGATGCTATTTTGGGGTAATAATTGATAATTTGTTTGTGTTTCAAGTAAAAACCTGCCTTTTCTCTAAGTTTTATACTTTTTTAATGATACTCATAGCTTGTATCCAGATATGCCATGGGTGGGGTACCTTGATACAAATTACCCCATAGGTAGGGTTCCTTGATACAAATTTCTAATTTTAGTTTAAACAGTCTAACATGTTTAACCTGCTATTTTGGTAATAAGTAAATTTGATTTTGTAGGTATAAATTTATTCTACAAATTAAACTAATTACTGGAAAAAAAAAGCAAAAAATTGTTCTGAAGCAAAAACCAAAAGTGTCATGGTGTCCCACTCTCCCCTATACAAAAATATTAGTAATAAAAGCTTTTGTCTATGAAACTGAGATCAACTGTATTCTCAAAAAACTTGTTCTTATGTGAATCAAAGTAGATTATCTCATTGCCTATTTATCCAATAAACCAATACCACCAAAAAAGCCAAGCAATTGCAAATTTATATTGAATTAAAATCTGATATTATTATATATATATAACACCCATTAGTAGTATAAAAATTCTTTAGGCTAAAAAGTCAGAACCTTTTTTGTTTTTACATTTTTATTTAATGTTTGCTCAATAAAGACTAAACAAAAAACTTTTAAAAAGTTTTTATATTATAAATGTTAGCAATAAACTAATTTTTTTAATTGTGGTTCACAGACATAGCTTTTAAAAGCTAGCTTCATTTATTTGTAAAATGCTAATTAATTTGTTTCTTTAGATGTGACATATCAAAATCACTTAAAATAATTCAATCATGTGCTTCAAAAAGTTATTTTTCTGTAACCAGGGTGAAACTTGGAAGATCACCAGAAGAGAAAAAAAAAGATGAAGGAATTCCTGAACCTCCACCTGTTGTTAGTATCAATCAATATAGACTTTTTAAATTTGTTTCTTTTTAAGGATTTTTTTCAAAAAATTATTTTAAAAGCAAAAAATCAGTTGTTATTATCAAGTTTTTTTAACCCTCCGTCGGGGGCAACTGATCTAACAGGCACATGCTTCATTCATTTGTAAATTTCTCCACAGCGGAGCACATTTAACTCTACAACTTTCTAGTAATTTCCTGTTTTTTAAGACTTTCAAAACTTTATTACTAAATTACTTTTCAGATAACAAAAAGAGTATTAATTGACCTGTGTGTTCTGATAGGCTCATTGTGCCCGATTTAGTCATTTTATTTAAGTAGGTATTTTAAAATTTTTTTTTTTAGAATTGTTTAATTTGCTCATTTTAGACTAACTCTGCATTTTATACTAAATCTGCGTATTTGATAAAAATAAATAGAAAATCTTCAAATGGCCTAACATGCACATTGTGCCTCATTATGTCATAATTTATTTTTAAACAAAAATTTAATGGCGTCTCAATTTGATGAACTAAGGACGTTACTTGAGGAAAAAGTTGAAGATGAACCCGCAGAAGTAGACAATTTTGCAGAAGAAAGTGATATCGACTGAAGTTAAGCAATTCATTCTTAATTCAGAAACTGAGCAATCTGAAAACAAAATAGAAGAAGATGACAAAGAAGAAGGAAACTTTTTTATGGGCAAAGATAAAAAAACAGAGTGGCTAAATAAACCACTAAAAAAAAGTTGACGTCGAAAGTCACACAACATTTGCATTCATCTTCCAGGAGTTATTGGAAATGCAAAAAATGCAAAAACTCCATATGAATGTTGGAATAACGTTTTTACGGACAATATAATTGAACTAATTGTCACATACACAAATATTTATATTGACTCTGTAAAAGATAGGTTTGTGCGACAGAGAGATATTAAATCCACTGACACAATTGAGGTAAAAGCATTCATTGGAAGATCTTTAGGGGAAAGAAGGTAATGGAATTGAAAAATTCAGTCTTGTTATGAGTCTCAAACGGTTTAATACATTTATTTGTTGTCTTTGTTTTGATGATCGAAGAACGCGAAACTAAAGAAAAGAAAACGACTGCCTTGCTCCAGTTCGAATAATTTTTGAAAAATTTGTTGATAACTGTCAGAAAAGTTTTAGTCCAGAGGAAAATCTCACTATTGATGAAATGCTTCCGGGTTTTCGTGGTAGATGTCAGTTTTGGCAATACATACCCTCAAAACCAAACAAATACGGTATAAAACTTTATAGTCTAGTTGATGCAAGAATGTTTTATACTGTCAAAATGGAAATTTATGCTGGGCAACAACCACTAGGCCCTTTTTGTTTTAGCAACAAACCAAGTGATGTGGTGATGAGAATGGCTGAACCTTTATTTGGATCTGGTCGAAATATAACAGCAGATAATTGGTTTACTAGCTTCGGTCTCATCAATAAATTAAAAACTAAGAAGCTTTCATATGTCGGCACTGTCAGAAAAAACAAAAAACAGCTGCTAATTGCATTTATAAATGTCAAAGGTAGAAAAGCAAAAACAAGCTTGTTTGGTTTTAATAATGATGAAGTTTTGGTCTCCTACATCCCGCGCGAAAGAAAGAACGTCATTCTAGTTTCAAGTTTGCACGATGATGATGCCATTGACCCTCAATCTGGAGAGCAAATGAAACCGGAAATAATTTTTACAATCTTACTAAGTGTGGAGTTAATGTAGCAGATCAGATGTGCGCTTCTTATAACGTGAGCCGAAACACCAGACGGTGGCCTGTGGTAATTTTCTATACAATACTTAATGTTGCAGGCATCAATTCACAAGTAATTTACATTGGGAATAACCTTGAAAAAAAAGGAGAAGGTTATTTCTAAAAGAGTTGTCACATGAATTGGTATTGGAAAACACCTACAGAGAAGAAGCATGAACACAGTTGGAATACCTAATAGTCTACATATTAGGATGCAAAGATTCCGTCCAAGAATTGATCAAGAAAAATCACAATCTCCTCCAACTTCTAAAAGACGTAGATGTGTCACGTGTACTTTAGAAACGAGCGTAAGATGGTTGTCTCGATACGAATGTCGAAAATGCAACCTATCTCTTTGCATAGTCATCAGAAATTTTAGTCTGTCAACCATGCTTTTCTTTGTGCAAATGCTTCAATTTAAGTCAACATGAAATATCTAATTTAGTCAACATGAAATATCAATTTAAGTCAACATGAAATATCTAATTTAGAATAAATATGATTTAAGTAACATTATTGTGGCTTACAAATAGATTATTTTAAAAGGTGTTGATGTTTAGAATTAATAATGTATATGGCTATTTTGAAACTAGATTGTTTTTTGTTTTTTTACTTAAATTGTAATACTACTTAGTATTTGATGATTAGACAGACTTTTTTTTATAAAACATTTAAAATTCTATTTATAAACATCCCTCTAAAGGTTAGTAATTACTTTTGGATGGTTTATTATATTATGGGTTGTTAAAAACAACACTTTAAAACTCTGTTTCTAATACGCACATTGCGCCCGATTTTATGCATTTTAATATTGCACCCGACGGAGGGTTAAGTTCAAAATTTTGGCACTTTATTTGGCACTTTATTTAGCACTTTATTTGGCATACTTTATTTGGCACTTTATTTGGCACAGTTATTAGAGAGGGTGAAGGTGTCTGCTCATAAATACCAACTTTTTACACTTAGTTAGGCTTTCAAAATAATTTAAGAGTTTAGTTTTACATAGTTTTAAATAATCAAGTTGTAAAATACTTTCTCAAATAACAAATTGGTGCTTTGCAGTTCAGAAAAAATTATAATAACTTCAAATCTAGTTTTTTACTCTAGTGTATTTTTTTCTTATATTCAATAATGATATATTAGAAGTACTAAAACTAATAATATATATGTAATTTATATATTTTTGTTTTTTTTCTTAGGAAATATGTCATTGTAGGAGAGATATAAGAATTGCACCCAAAAAAATGCTTCTCTCTGCTAATCTTGTAATATTTTTAAATAGAATCTGTTTTATTTTATATCAGAAATATTTAGCGATGTTGATGATAAATCAAGAACAATTATTTTTCTAAATTTTCAGGTTGCAAGATTACCAATTAATGAGGCAATTGCACAGGCACAATTTTCTATAAAAGGTGCTTCTGAAGTTGTAAAAGAGGTTTTTAATTTATGTTTATAATTTTATTCATTTTACGGTTTTTATACACCTAATGATTTGCTTTTTAATATAGTTTTTTTCTATTTTCTTTTAAATCTTTTTTTAATTTAACTCAGGTTTTAAAAGAAGCTCAAGATATTGCTGTTAAAAAATATGGTGTTGAGGATCCTTCATACTTATATGTTGGTAAGTTTTTTTTTTTACTTTAAGTTTAGGCTATAAAGAGTAACTTTGTCACTGGAAAGTAATTTTGTCACTGGATTTACTGTGTAATAAAACTAGGGTAAAAAATTGAACTTACTGCATGTAGAATGCCTAAACTATCTTAATTCTTGAAACTTATCAGATTATTTTTACTGCAAAATTTTGTCAAAAAAAATTCTTTCTAACTATGCTTATTGTTTTAATGAGCATTAAAAAATACTTCTAAATATTATCATAACAACTTTTAAATAACAACAATTTTTTTAAGGATTTAAAAATCAGGGGACTAAATTAGAGTATTATCTTGACAAAGGACTTTTGGCTTTAGTAGAAATCCTTTTTCTAACTCTTTATTTAGTTGTTCATTAATTTTTTTGTTATTTCATTATTCCATGTGCTTATATTTTCTTTTCTTGAAAAACCTTTAAAAATGTCTAAGGAATTACTAGTATGACTTTTAAAATGTTTTCTGTATTATCTTTTTATTTTTCAAATTTGAAGATGCTTTAAAAGGTACATTAATTGACTTTGTTTTGTTTTCTCCATAGTTAGGTGTTTCAGTAAAGTACTTGATTCAGTCCTAAGCTCTTTTTTTTCTAGAGGCTATCAAAAGTTAATGACTTGTTTTAGCATTAACTATATTGCTAAGTCAGCAGTTACAAGGTTTGCGTTACATACTGCATCTACTACCTCCTTTTTTTTACTTTAACTTTTACATGTTTACTAGTTCAGACACAGCTAGACATACGCATTACCTGCCATTTTAGTCATACCATCAAAACTGCAAGTATGAGTGCCTTCAAGAGCCACCATCAAGAATCACTGCAAGTATGAATACCATCAAAAGCCACCATCAAGAGTTACTGTAAGTATGAATACCATCAAGAGCCACCATCAAGACTGCAAGTATGAGCACCTTCAAGAGCCACCATCAAGAGTTACTACAAGTAGGAGTACCATCAAGATTATATTACAGATTTTAAAACTAGTGTTAAAAGTTGAATATAAGAACAGTAAGAGTAATTTATGAATGAGTGAGGAAGAAAATAAAAAATGTCTTGCAGAATGTTTTGTTTTTACAAAAAAATTTTGTCTTTAAAACAATCAGACAGGTTATGACTCAATAAGAATTCCCAATGCACTATGAGATTTTCAATTAAAATTAGACATTTCTACCAAACAATCGTTTCATGATGTTGCTAAGGTAGATTTTTTATCAATACTACAACAAAACATCAACCTAATTTTGTTGCATGTAGTTGGGGTGAGGGGAATGGAGAAGTTTTTACTTTTTTATTAAGACTTAGTCAGCATTGCTATAAATACAATATACAACAGATGATAGACATCTTTTGAAATCAATCTAAAAAATAATATATTATTTTTGTTTATGATATTTTATAAAGTTGTGTTAATAAATATTTTTTCAATTTTTCCAGAGTTTTCTAAAAAAAACTTTTTCTTGACTTAATCTTGAGCATCTTGGGTTTTACAAGTTCCTGCAGAACTTTCTAGATGAACAAGTTCCTGCAGAACTTTCTAGATGAACAAGTTCCTGCAGAACTTTCTAGATGAACAAGTTCCTGCAGAACTTTCTAGATGAACAAGTTCCTGCAGAACTTTCTAGATGAACAAGTTCCTGCAGAACTTTCTAGATGAACAAGTTCCTGCAGAACTTTCTAGATGAACAAGTTCCTGCAGAACTTTCTAGATGAACAAGTTCCAACTTGATACTGCTATAAAAAAATTCGAAAAGTTAATATAGTTTGCTTTTTTTTATCACTTCCAACAGGGATTATCTTTATCTGGAATTCCAGATATTTTTTTCAACTTGTATTTTTCCAAATATTCAAAACGTTTTTCATACAATTTTAGGTATATATTTTTGTTATATATTTCTTTTTTAAGCATTAAAACAACTTACTAAAAGCAAAATTCAAAGAAAAATAATGAAAAATGTATTCTGGATTTTTTCCAGATATTTTATCCAATCAATTTTCTGGATTTTTTAATATGATCTGGAAGATCTATGTTATAAAGATCCAACCAAAGGCCTCATTAGCAAAAGAATTAAATTCTCTACAAACTAATGCAAAAGTCAAAATAATGCTGTAGATTTAATGACAACAATAAAGTTTTTTCAATTAAAAACTGCTTGAATCCTTTTTATATATAGAAATACATGTTAATACATAATACATTGTTAACTTAATTATTATTTTTGTTGTGACTTTGTATTAGTTGTCATAGAATATTCAATTAAAATTAGTTTTTTACTATTTCCGAATCTCCAGTTACAATAGGATTGATTGGTTGGTTAGTTAAGGTTGATTGGTTAAGGCTGATTTGTTAGTTGGATAAGGTTGATTGATTAAACATTAAAATTTGTTGTAAAGCAGAAATATAATTCATTGTAATTTTATTTTGCTTTTGGTGATGTTTTTGTTAATCATAATTTTTGTTTCAATGCAGTTAAAAAATCATACTTTTTAAAATCTATAAATCTTAGAATATTTCAAAAACAATTTCAGAATTTTGGATTTTCAAGGCATTGTAAAATACCTAGTCAGTTGTAAAATACCTAGTCTAGTCAGTTAAAGAGCTATTGATCATCTTATTATTAGCTTTATTTTAGAATCCAGTCTACCAACTAATGCAAACTTTTTGTAAACTAAGGCACATTAGAAAGAATGTTTACAAGAAGATTGTTGATTTATCCTAGATTTTTCTAGTTTTGTTTTTTTCCAAAAGCCTGGTGCTAATTGTTATATTTTTGGTTGGGTCCTTCTATTATATAATTGTAGTACAAAAAAGTGTTTCACTTTTTAAGTTACATCATCCAATGATGATTTCAAGTAGGAATGGCGAAGAGAGGTTTTACATATAACTATAGATAAAGTAATTGACAAAAGCCTAAAGATCAAAACTAAAAAATAAATTATCTTATTTGAATTGAATCTTTTGAAAAAGGATATTAAATCGTATAAATATTATAAAGAGTTAATTAAATGTGTTAGCTTGCTGAAACCTGACATGTGAATATTAGTAACATTTTTTAAGAACTGTATAAGATTAAGGCAGTGTTCACACTAATTACAAAGTCTTTAGTGAAAATTGCTCTTTTAAAACTGCACCAGAAAGTGTGTAGTTCTAGAAATCAGTGCTATTTCAGTTTTATTTTGCTAAAAGAAAACAAATGAAAATGCAACAGGAGGTCAATCCTATTTTCTTATCATTAATGACCTACACAAAGGATTGGTTTCAATCATATCAAAAACTGATAGGACAATCACTTCATTTACAAAGCTATTTTAGGATGAAAAGGTACTAAAATTCCTTAAATAGAGATTTTATCACATAATGATTATGTTGTTTTTTTGGTTTTGTTGTAAAGTTCCTTACAACTTATATTTTAATTTGTTTCAATTAAAAAACAGATTCTGGATTTTTAATTTTAACAAGTTTAAGGGTTTAAGAGACTATAAAAACTATATCCGACCATAAAGAGAATTTAATTATGAATGTCAGTTGTCAATGAAAAAAGATGAAAAATTTTATAAAATAAGAATGACTGTTTGTCATTCTTATTTTATAAAATCAGAAAATTTTTGGTTTGTGATTTATATTCTGGTGATCTTATTATATATTTGTTTACAGTAGTTTTTTTACTTTTACTTAAGCAACCTTTATCAAGGCTGATGAAATTTCAAAACAGGGTGGCCAGTGGCTATAGAAATCATATGCTTCTCATGATATTTTTATTTGGTCATGGAAAGGGTTATGGAATTCCTAAATTTTCAGTAAGTCATAAAACATTCATGGAAATATTTAAAATAATCTTAATTTTTTTTTACTAGTAATTTTTTTAAGAAAATTATTAACATGTCTAGTCTAAGACCTGTTTTAAAAAAGATATTGCTGTGTAAGTTAGTGGATCTAATCTGCAAAACAGGTTAGCATCTTTATAGGCATCTGATGGTAAAAAATTGCTTCTTAAAATAAAAAATCTTATATTGATTATTTTCTCGGGGATTGGCATGTCCTTATTATTGACATTTTAAAATAAAGATAAGTACATTCTTAAATGGCGACAAGTATATTTATTGTAATATTATCGTTTTTATATTTAGTTTAAGGATTTTAATAACGAAATATGTTAGTGAAAAAGACACCATTTATTGTTAAATGGTGTATCAATAATGGTCATACACCATATATTATTAAATGTTATTTTGTATGGTCATCTTACATGGCCACATATACATACAAAATATATACATAGAAGTACTTATACATACAAAATACATACGTATAAGTACATATGCATACAAAACACATAGTAGAAATACATAATACATACATAGATATATATATGCATACAAAAAATAATAAAGTAATATAAATTTTATTTTAAGAATACACATTAAAAACACTAATAAGCACATGTCAAGCGCATTAAGAGTGACTAAAATTTTTTAGCAAAAATCAAAGTTGTAAGATTTCGATTTTTAAGTTTTTATGTTAAGAAAAATATTGTGTATAAATATATTTATGTTATTATTTAGAGTAAACTAAAAATTAATAATGTATTGAGCCAAGAATGTAGGTTTTACAAGTCTAGTTTTGGCTTAAGTAACATGGGAATTAAAGCATTAATCAATAATGGGTTAGGTAAGAATTTGTTAAGAAAAATCTGAGCAGAAAAGCAGAAGTTACTAAAATCTATTATTTTTCATAAACAGTCGATAACAATAAAAAAATCTAGTTTATTCTGAGTTTGCAAAATCTATTGAATCGCACATTGTTCCCGGCTGCACATATCATCCAGAAATACTGTGGACTTTAAAGGTTGCTGTATCAGATTGTTCATCTAAATCGTGTACTGGTTTCAGTGAGTTGTTTAAAGTTATTTACAAATAGCAAAACTTGAAGTTATTTTTTTTGAGTAAAACAAATTGTGGAATTTTTTTTTCGGTGATAAAATGCAGTACATCAGGCTACCATTTTAAATATAATTTCTTTATGAATTTATTATATTAAAAATCTTCACGAGAAATAAATTTTAAAATTTTTAAAATTATTTGGAAAACTAAATTTTAAACTTTTTAACAGTTTTTTGTTTTAAAAACTTTTACTTTGATTTAAAAAATGTACAAATGTACAAATAGGAGTGATTTTCATACTTTTTTGAAAATCCAATTTTAGTAACCCGGGAGTAAGTTTAACAGGTTAAAATATGAGCTCATGAAAAATTTTAGCTATCCAAAATAAAGAAATGGCAAGTTAAATCGACTTTGAAAAAACGCAAAAAAATGCGATTCTTTTTAATTTTTATGATATATTTATATATATATATATATTTTTTGCAATATACAAATTTAAACATATATATTTTATATTTATTTACATGCTACCAAAACATCTGGATCTGATGCTAAAACTTCAGATATGTGACCATAATCAATCAATGAGTTATGGATGTAAGGCATTTCAATATGATCTATATGCTCTATTTGAACTAAGCAATAACAAACAAGATAAAAACCAAGAAAAGCTTATTATTAACGTTTTTATTATTTAGTGACTGAACTAACTTGTTCATTAATTAATTTATACCGGCTGTCATAGATATTGCCTGGCGCTTTATCTCAACAGCATTAATTAAATAAATAATCTTTCTGGAGTAAATGTACCAGATTTTAAATCAGCCTTTCCTAGCTGATAAATACCTAAATGATAAATAATCAATTACTTCATTTAGATTAAAATGAAATCAAAGTATAATTAAATAAAAAGAAATATCAAAGAGAATCTAAAATCAAATCTTGATAGTCTTTACTCTTAGATTTATAACGACCTCGATTTTATTCTTTCAAAAAGATTTCTTATTTTTCTTAAGATTGAATTTCTCTGAAGAAGAGGAAGATGTGGGTTTACTTTATTCCGCAAAGTACTAAGACAATTCTAAATCTCTTTTAGTAGATTCTGTCTTGAAATATTTTGGTTATTGTTTTCAGCGAGATAAAAAAACTGAATTACTTGACGAAATGCTGGAAGATTAGCTGAAGGCATTTTGTTGGAAGATTGGCTGAAGGCATGGGAGACCTCTGTATTTCAGACTATTTTCCAAACGAGTTTTTTTAGATTTGCTCTTATGCATTTTTTTTTTTTATAATTTATTTGCTATTTCTATTTAATAGATTAAGTCTTAATAAATGTGCATTTTTGTAAATCATTCATTTTCCAGATTCGACCGTGAGTGAAGTAGGCTATCTATCAATCTTCGTATTTAATTCTTTTTACTATTGTAATTTCTGTGTAGAAAAAACGAAACTCGAGATAATAGATTTTTTTTAATCTCAATTTTTAAAGTTTAAAATTAATTGAAAAGCACACTTTTATTTCGCTTTATGCTTTATGCGGTAATACAGTAAATTGAATCGTCTTATAATAACTTTAAACATTTTATTTAACTTTAGATCAATCATTTATTGGGCGTGGGCAGCACCTTAAGCGTATTAATTATCGAGGACAAGGAAGAATGGACATAATGAGACGACACTATTGCCATTACTTTGTCATTCTAAAAGAGGGTACTCCTCCCGGAAAAAATATAAGTAGAACCAGATCAAGATATTTGACACCTTTAGAAAAAAAATTGCGTTATCCCAAGACAATTAAAAATTCACTAGCTTGGTGGTAAAATTAGTCTTGGTAAAATGTCATTTATAGTAAAAAATTGTTGTTTTTCAGTGACTAATATTTTTTATTTTAATGATTTGTACTGATAAAAAATATTTAGGGGACTTTAATATTAAATGTTTACTACGTCTAAATTATCAATTTGTATAGAAATTATGAATTATATTTTACTTTTATTTAATTCACACACACACACAAATTTAATTCACACACACACGCACGCACACGCAATATTCAGGGATTTGAAGAAGCCGAATACAGGTTTTAAAAAAAAGCTTTTTACTTTTTTATTTTATGAAATTTTAAATTAAAAATAGGGTTTTATTTACTTATTAGCAGCAGGGTTTTATTTACTATTAGCAGCAGCAAATGTTTTCAAAAAAATGAACTTTATCATCCTAAAATATTAGGATAAAGTTTTTTTATATATATATATAAGGTTCAAATTTTTTTTTTTTTTTTTTTTTTTTGAATTATCGTAAAGAAGCCGTTTTTGTGCTTATTTTTCTGTCGTAACTTAAATAATAAAGGCGGAATGTCCAATTTTTAAATTTCTGCTTTTAAACAAGAGTACATTGCATTTAGCACTGCACTCTTACACAAATCACTCAACACGGTCCCTTCTGCTTTAATCACGAAACCCATACCTGGAACCGGTGACAATTAGTTTTAATGAAATCATCGGTCATGGCATCCCAGGCTTTGTGGATGGATACCTTCAGGTCATTGGTAATGCTGTGGCAATGTTCACGACCTTGGACTGCATATATTTCCTTATGGAGTAGTCCAATCAGTTGAGGTCTGGAGAAGAGGTTCTGAGTTCGACCCCCACCATGTCCCTGTTAGTACCGCGCTCAACTTGTTTCTCCATGCAGCGGCCTTGTTCGTCGAGGTTCGTGTTTCGGAATTATAGAGTTGAAAAAAGGTTATAACCACAATAAAGTAGCCTCCCCGCTTGTAGTGGTTTTCTCGGCCTCAAGGAGGTGAATTAACAAAAAAAAAAAAAAAACAGGAGAATTTTACCGATCCATTATTGTATCTTTTTTGCACTTTAATATAATGCACCATCATGTTAAAGGACTACTTTTTCATCAGAAGTTTAGTATGAAGCAGTTCAAGACTTCACATTGTCATTTAAAATGCCTATGTACTCTTCTGTATTGATTTTACACCAAAACCTGTGTCATTTTTTTTTACTAACCGATAACAAAAACCTATTACTGAGGCTAAATGTTTAGTCAATATTTAAACCGGATGTCATTTGAAACTTATTCCGGTGCCTTGTCTAAAATCTACGAGTCAGTTATAAATTTGAAATTGTTTCCACCGTAAAATCTTTTCATCCAAAAACAATAAAATCAGCGTACCTTTCTTATAAATACTCAGTTTTTTCTCGGATTTTTCAAATTTTCTGGTATTCGATCTTTTATTATGCAGTTGTCTTTATGCATTAGCGCTGCACAGGGCCTTGATATCGTTGTTTCTTCGTAACGGATAGTATTGTATTTGCATCAAATACCTGGGTAATCTTTCTCATTGACCTGACTAAGATCTTTTAAAGCCTGGATAAGGTTTTTAGTTCTTTAGTTGTTTTTTTTAAATATATCTGCGTTTAATTGTACCAAACTTGAAAAACCATCGATCGTAAACAATTGATTTTGCTGCTGCTAACTCTAAAAAGCTTCACGTACAGATCGGTTATTGCGAAATTCGGGAAACTCATTTTATTAATTTTACAAATTTTTGTATGTTGTGATGATTGAAGCGTAGATGTCTAATTCTAATTAATAATAAATAATAAAATAAAAAATCTAATCATGTAACATAAAAAATTTCTTACAAGATTGGATGATTTTCTTTTCAGTTCCGTTCCGCGGAAAGTTTTCTGTGAGTGGAAATTCACCTTTATGAAATTATAGTGGAAAAACCGTGTATAAAAAAATCTCCAACTGTTATAGTCTACATTTTCAGAAACTTTATAAAAGAGATTTTGTTAAAATATGCAATAATGCATAGAATTTTAAATTTTTTAAATTTTTTAACAGACAAACTAAAAATATTTTTATGTCCTCATTTGAGTAAAATTTGAATTTAGTAATAATAAAAAAATAATAATGTTAGTGTTTATTACTACTATCGTTGTTAGTATTGCACAAACCCAAAACCATGCTCAAAATCTAAGCATACATTATTTTGTTTGAGTTTTTTTCTGCGAGGTTCGGGAATTTAAATGCGGTAGTGGTAAAGCGCTCGCTTCGCAAGTGAGAAGCTTAATCAAGTTCGATTTCCAATCACGTCCCTTTTAGTACCGCTATCTATTTGTTTCTCCGTGCAGCGGCCTTGTTTGTCAAGGTTCGTACTTTAAAACAATAAGTGTTGTAATCACAATAACAAAAATAAGAAGCCTTTTCGAGAAGGTGAGAAACAAAAAAGTAAAAATAAAAACGGATGAGAAAAGTTAAATTAAATAATGTCAAAGATATATTAATCAAACAGTTTTAATGACAATTTTTGCATTACTAGTAGATGTTGAAGAATTTAATAAAATTTAATAACATTTAAATAGCTTCTCGGCTAATAATTTAGAAATTATTTACCGGCAATTATTGCTTACCTATACGAAACGAACTCACGTCGAAGTGCCGCCGTGAAAACCAATTTCTTATTAAAAACTTTAATTCCAATGCTGGAATTAAATGTTGGTTTCTTGCACTGTCCTATTAAAAGTTGCCAGAAAACAAAATGTATATTGAAGCTAAGGAAGTAGTGCTGGAACTTAAATAAGTGAATGATTCTGCAGAGCTGTAGCACTCATTGAAGGATTTAATAAAAGTAACGAAGGCCGAGGATGAAAAGCAGTTTTTATCACTAACAGTGCAAATTTTTAATCCCATTTCCTCGACACTAATAAATTTAAATTTAATCAACTGAAAAATCTGAAATAAAAATCTTGTTAAAAGAAAAATTCATAGGCAAAATTATATTAAAACCTTTTTAATTAAAATAAAAAAACTGTAAGTCATATTAAAACCGTAATTTTCTCTAAAAATTACGGTTTTAATATAATTTTACCTATTGATTTTTCTTTTAATAAGATTTTTATTTCAGATTTTTCAGTTGATTCAATTTAAATTTTTTAGTGTCGGGTAAATGGGATTGAAAATTTGCACTGTAAGCGATAAAAACTGCTTTGTTTCCTCGCCCTATGTCACTTTTATTAAATCGTTCAATGAATGCTACAGCTCGCTCGGCAGGTCAAAAATTTGGCTCCGGCGCCAGGCTCCGGTTCCATTAGAATTTTTGGCTCCAGTTCCGGCTTTAGCTTCGGAGTGGCTCCGCAAAAAAAAACAAATTAAAAATTTTTTTAAATGTTTTATCACAGTAACTTAAGTACTATTAATATTTTATTAATCAAAATCTCTTGATCTAAAATTTATCAGGTTTGAGTTAAGAAAGCAGATCGCTCGATAAAAACTTAAGAGCAGAATATAGCCTTCACCTACTTGTGAGATACAAGTGACAATTCTGCACGCTTCTTGTATCATTTTTGGGTATTCTTTATTTCCCTCAAAAGCTGAATTTTCTTTTGAACGTCCTATTTCTTCTATTACCCTAAAGTCGTTCAAAAAAGTTGTGTTAAAAACATTTTTATCAAAAAAATAAATAAAAAAGAAGTGTGAACAATATTAGTTTTGGTCACACTTATCCTTTTTTCTTTTTTATCTAGATCCTTTTCAAACTCATCTTTTTCTCCATCGGAATTAGATTCACTTAAAACTGAAAGAAGTACTGTAGATAACACACCAGTATTTCTTGGCTTTCTTTTTTACTTTTTTAGCATCTCTGTTATAAATTTTTTCTGCTATTATTTTTAAGCCTTGTTTTGCTTGTATTATCTGGTTTTCTTTCAATATCTAGCATCAACCTAATGGCAGCTAGAAGTATATCATTATCAAAAGGTTTTTCTACTTGTTTCTGCATAGAAATTTGGAATTGCATGGAATTTTGGAATTTCTTCTACAAATAGTCGTTTATTCTTTACTAGGTCAGATTTCAATTTCAACCATTCCTTTAGAAACTCTGCTGGAGTCCTTGAAGTTTAACTGCAACATCAAGTGGCTTTTTTAAAGATCGCAAAGATGACTAGATTTATACCGTATTTTAGGGCGTAGAAAGAATATCTGACCAACTGCAGTAAATTGCTCACACAGGGAGCGCAAATGTAATAATCTTTCAATTATCCGGAATGTAGAACTTCAGCGTGTCTCATTATCCAAAATTGAAATAACCTTGTATTGCTTCTTTGCTTAAAATATTGTATGTGAGTTTTTTAGTTTACACCATAACGGACTTTTGCCAAAGGTTAGGCAGTGTATGTTTTTTTTAGACATACAAATAGCTAGATACAAAGTGTGAACAACACAACGCATCAGCTTAATGTCAGTAGACAATTGTTGACACCATTCTGGTTTGATAAAAACTAGATTTTCTTCCTGAGCTCCTTCACTTACTTCTTCATTTGTAACATGTTGTGAATACTCCACTTGTTCTTAATCATGAAAAGCTCGATCTCAAAAATTTTTATCACCTGAATATTTGTTTAAAATTGGCCTATAGCCAGCTGAAATCCTTCACCCCAAAATAAATCTTCAAAATCATTTTATCACATTCACAAGATTTCAATACTAAAAAAACTAAACAGATTACTTTAGATTCTTTTGTCATCACTAGTAGTTGAAAAATAAATCAAGTTAGCGCTAAAACATTTAAAATTGGAATTATTTAAATGGTAGTGAATAACGTAATTTTGTTGAAAACGTTTGCGGATCTAACTTTTGTCTTCTACTTATCAAAAAGTATAAAAGAAAATCGATATAATATAGATATAATTGCTTTTAATTATTTTATATTGGGTACTATATTGTAAATTTCCTAATTTAATTGTTAATATTTAATTTTAATATTTGCAATTTTTATACTTTATCTTTTAAAATTTATAGTTTTTTACGAAATGCTGTTTTAAAACGTAAAAAAAAAAAAGAAAAAAAAGAAAAAGTAAGTAAAATGCGATAAATTTAATCTAATAAATTAATAAATTTTGAACCCAATTTTGTAAAATTGAAAATAAATTTGTAATTTTTTCAATTTTATGATTAAATAAATAGATTTAAAAAAATTATAATAGTTTGCTAAAAACCTATGTAAAAGATTAAAATAATTTGATAGTAATGATAATTTTTTATTAGTTATTTTAATTTAGTTCATTATTTTTTTAAAAAGTTAGAAAATTTAACTCAATTGTAGATGATGTATATTATATCAATAATGCTTTTTTCTGCTAATCAACAAAAATTCATAATAAAGAACTTCCTATCTAGCATCGATAATGAACACTATAAACACTAACATGATCACCTATGTGCAAAATAGCACTGGTAATACTATGGTATTTTACAGCTGATGATGGAATCAGTCTCTCTGAGAGCAACCAAAAATTTTGGGAAAATTTATTTCTTGACGGTTTCAACCATTAAACTGAAAATAGAATGAAGGTACAAATAACGATCGTGGTTCAATTAGATTCATAATTTGTTATTCTCGGAAGATAACAATGCAACAAATCTACTCTAAATCAGTATTTAGAGTAGATTTGTTATATCAGTATTTAACCAATTGGTCCAAATAATGAGGATATTTCAAGTCAATATAAATTTCTTTTAGCCTTACCTAAGTAAATCCTACGATGTAGTATGACATAGTGAGGCTGCACTGGATTTTATTTTAACAGCAACAGTGTAAGCATAATAATCCTAATTCTGACCTAATCCAATTATAAACAATTTATAAAAGATCTTTTAATTATTTTCATTAACTTTTGTCACTAAAAGTAATAGTGATATATATTTGTAAACATGTTCTAAGAACTTTTACCATAATTTGATTATTAATAATTAAATACCTTTTAATGAACCTTTCATACAATGTAACTCGTGCATCAAATATTTTTCTTAATGAAGCTGGTTAATAAAGTTATTTGTTAATTATAAACAAATTGTTTAAGAATCACTCGTGATTATGATTTTTTTTTTAAAACCATTAATAAAAGAGTCATCGTATTTGCACAGAAAAAATTGTTAACAAAATTTCTTAAAAAATTAAATAAAATCGATATGGTAGTTCAACATAAGTAAACAAATTCATTTGTCTTGAAGTTTTTAATTTATCTTGCTGGTTCAGTCTTTTTTCAGGTTCACTAGTTTTTATAGACTTTTCCCGCCTTAAAATGACTTAAAAGACCCTTAGGTGTCCCTTAAAAGTTAAGGGTATCTTAAGAATAATTTTTTTAGATATTTAAAAAAGAAAAGACATAACTAATACATTATAATTTTTTTTCTCTAATATAGTATATAGCTATTAGTTCTTGAAGATTCGGGTGTGTATAGGGCAGATTCTAATAAGAATATGTAAGGATAAAACCTGGGCTAACCCTAAGTTGAATAGAATTTTCTGGAAACTTTGAAAAAAATCTTTTCAGGATGATTTTATAAATGCGCTATTCTGAAAGCGGTTGTTATAGTTTCTTTAGAAATAATTTGCTCCTTAATAATTTTGATAATTTTAATAACTTAGATATTGAGTTGTTTTTTTTTAAATATGACAGGTAAATCCATACTGTAAAGAAAAAAAATCCCATGATAAATGAGTCATACAAGTATAATGAACTGAAACTTTCAATTACCTGAAAATTTCAATTGGTGATTTTAAACTGGAAATATTATATTTTAAATTCAAAAAAAATTAATATTTCAAAACAAGAAAAATCAAGCTAAAAATTAAAACCCGAAATTTCTATAGACTATACAATATACTCTATTTAAATCCATTAGAACTCTAGGAATCTGTTTTTTTAATATCATAGTACTTCTTATGAGGAGATCAAACTTTTTTACTTTGTTTTTTGCACATCAAAGATGATTTACAAACAAAATTAAATTAGAAATTCCCCACTGAGGTATTTTAATGTTTTGAGTAAAATTATTAAAGTAGTTGAATTCAACTGGACTAGTTGAATTTATTCAAAGACATTTTAATAATTCCCTTTTTTTTAATAAACTGGGAAAAAAGACTACCCTTTTTCCAAAATAAAAATTTAATGGAACATATTAAGAATTATAGATATTTTTTTAAAGATTTTTGATTAAAGAAGTAAATTTTTTTTGTAGTTTTTATGGTGCTCCAAGAAGTCTTATCACTTACGTCACTTACGGTCTTATCACTTACGTCACTTACGGTCTTATCACTTACGTCACTTACGGTCTTATCACTTACGGTCTTATCACTTACGGTCTTATCACTTACGGTCTTATCACTTACGGTCTTATCGCTTACAGTCTTATCACTTACGGTCTTATCACTTACGGTCTTATCACTTACGGTCTTATCACTTACGGTCTTATCACTTACGGTCTTATCACTTACGGTCTTATCACTTACGGTCTTATCACTTACGGTCTTATCACTTACGGTCTTATCACTTACGGTCTTATCACTTACGGTCTTATCACTTACGGTCTTATCACTTACGGTCTTATCACTTACTGTCTTATCACTTACGGTCTTATCACTTACGGTCTTATCACTTACGGTCTTATCACTTACGGTCTTATCACTTACGGTCTTATCACTTACGGTCTTATCACAGAGAACGTAATGCACTCATTCTGAACAGTTGCACAATTTTGCACAGTTTTTAAACGGCTGCACAATTTTGAACAGTTTGTTTGACATGTTTTTACTCAATTGTGTTTGAGGTTACTGTATTATGTAAATACCAAGTTTAAAGCTAATAATTGTTTATACACTAAATATGACGATGTGACTGGTGGGTCTAACACAAACGTGGCTCGTTGGTCATAAGTGAAAATCTTTCGTAAACAATTTTTATTATTATTAATAATTTTTTTTGAAATTGTGTTGTGATGTTTAATGTTTTGAAAGAAAACAAACAAACATTGAACTATTAAATAAATAAGAATTTTTTTTTTTAATTTAAAGAGTTTTATACTCGTAAATAAAACATGAAATACTCTATTAACACGTTTAATAGGGTATTTCTCGTTTTATTTACGAGTACTCATAGCGTTTTGCAAAAATTTTATTCCTCGAGTTTTGACTCAATAGGCACAAGACGTGTTTTAGACGTGCTAAATGCGTTATGTGCTTCTTGGTGGAGTGTATCGTTTTGATGTCTGAAATCAAATAAAAACAAAGCTTGAAACAAAAAAAAAAATTGTTTTTAATATACTCCTTCTTGAATAAAAAATTATTTAGCCACTAACCAATTACAAGTTAAACGTTAACCTATCGTTTGTGTGGTAACTCTTACTTATTTTAAATTATTAAAAAATAAACTTATTCAAAATATTTTTACAAAATGTTGGAATTGTTTAAATTATTTTGATAATTGAGTTAATCATATTTTGATAATTGGTACCAAATTGCTCACACGACGTTTGTAAATATAATTCAAATCAAGGTCGGCGACACGGGTTTCAAAGTGGAGGGGCACAATCGTTAATTTAAAAAAAAAGTCCTTTCCTTTAGAAAAAAAGTAGGGCACGTGCTCACCCTACCCCCACCACCATTTTTCCCCACGGTGTCGTCGGCTGAATTCAAATCAATGAAGTCAATTCTGTTTATTGTATATAAAGTGAAAAAACTTGAATTAATGATCTTATTTTTTGCAATGATATTTTTTCGCCATTTTGATTTTTTGCCTCACTTAGATATGCTTAAAATCTTTGAAAGTTTCCAGAATGTAATACATATTTATATAGAACCCTTTTAAACTTTCAATAAGAAAACTGACAGGTCGGTTAAATTCTCGATTATGTTTGTTATTTGCGCTTAAGATTCCCAAAATTAAGTCTTTAACAATTTAGGATAAGCACGCTTTAGTTGATTTTTTTTCCTAATTTTCGGTTTTGTTAGTTATTACCTTTTCTGATGCGGTTTTTCACTGAAGTGTTGTTAGGATATTTTAACGTAACTTTATTTGTAGTAATGGTAGTTGTCGTTGAAATATTATACATTATTATTAAGCCATATTCTATCAAGCCGAACAGATATTTTACGTGTTAAATCAATTTTATTAATGATAGGATCCTTCTTTGTTTTTCCGTTTTGTTCAGACTTACTGGTTTTCAATAACTGCAAACTATCGACTACTTTTATTGTTTTTTTAACTGCTTCTATTGTTTTTTCAACTGCTTCTATTGTTTTATCGCAAGTTGCTCTGCACTTTGTAGCTGTTTTTACGCAGATAAAAGTTTCTTGAACTGATTTAATAATTGTCTTACACAAGTCAAAATTTCCATCACAATAACTTCGACATGTAAAGTTATTATCATGTTCTTTTGTTTTTATAATATGTCGACCAAAGACAGCTTCATAAATCAAAAAAAAAATCACGTGACTTGTTTTTAAGCATCTATTCAATTTCATTATTAATAAAATAACCTAAAATAAAAATCCATGATGTTTTTATTGTTCTTAAACAAAACCAATAATTTATATTTTTATAATTTTTTTTAAATTCTAATTTTCAAATTATTTTTCTTATAAACTAAACTTATTTCGAAATTATTAGTTAATACAATATTAATATAAAAGCTTTGAAATTCTACTTGAAATATTAATATGAAACTCAATACCTTTTTACGGTGGTACTTTTTTCTTTTTTCGTTTACCAGTGAAAACAACAACTTAATGCTGTACATTTAAAAATAATTAATGCAGTTCATGTTCCCTTTTAAGGTAAATATATAATAACTTCCCCTTCCTTGGAAACAAAAATTTGTCTTGAACTGAATACAATATAAAATTTTGTTTTTAGCTCAGTTTTATGTTTCTAAAACGTATAACTCTTATAATAAAATATTAAATTTCGATAAACATGTATTTATTTATTATGTTTTTTCTTTTTTTTTTCTTTTTTTAAATTCCTTCTTTATTCATAAAAAATATGACATTGTTAAAATGAACGATAATAATAAAAAATCCTTTTCATTTTCCTATTATGTAAAATATATTTTTGATCTATGACTCTTGTTACAATAATTAGAGTTTAAATGACCAACCGCAATGATATTCAGCCACAATAACTAGAGTTTAAATCATCAACCACCATGATATTTAGCCGCATTAAATTGATTTCTAATATTTTTAAATAAGAACTCAACTAAATTCCTACATTAAAGTGTTTTTATTTATTTTTCAAATTATGGGTGAAAGATCTTCTATAAAGTTATCGAGATTTGTTGGTAGCTATTAATGAACAACTTTTAAAAACGTTATTTAAATACTTGATATATAATTTGATTTTAAATTCAATTTATATATTTTTTGTTATCTAGACCGCAGTATGCTAAGCATCATTAATCCATCGGAATTAATTTTTAAGCATTGTTTTGCTTAAGAATTAATTCAGATTTATTTCACTTTCAATTGCATCAAAGTCATGGTTACGTATGGTATAGTTTAAGTTTTTTTTTGTTAAAAATTTTATTGTTATCTAAAGTTTGCTTCTTTTAATTTTAAAAATGAAGTTTTTATTTCTCAGAGCAGTAATCAAGACCGAATTTTAGAAAATTTTAGCTCAAATCAATAAAAGTATTTATTTTTCTTTTAATAAATTCTGTTTATTTTAGTAAACTAAAATTAAACGACCATATAATAAGAATTGAAAAAGTTAACAACTTTTTGTTTGAACTTTGTTGACTGTAGTTAGTAGTGAAGATTCAGTCAAGTTTGTTTGAAATGGTAATATAGCCGGATCTCAAAAGATTGACATAGCTGGATTTTTTCTCGTAGGGTTACTCTTGGTTTTTCCGTTCATTATTATAATGTTCATTGTAATGTAAATAAATTGATTAAACAAACTTGCTATATGTGTTATAAATGTAGGACACTGTTTGATTTAATTATTTCTAAGAAAATTAAAGAACAAAATTATTGTAGGTTTATTAATGACAAAAATATAATTGTATTTTATTGAATAGATTTAAAAATTCAAAATTACATTCCAACGCAGTTGAAATCTTATCAAATTATAAATTGGATAAACAGCAGTAGAAATAACCTTGAACAAAAAAATAATACCAATAACAAAAAAAAACCTTGATTCAATAAAAAAATTAGTAGGAAAGTCAAAAAAGTTAAGGGTGCTAAAACGAAGTTTAGGGGGGACAAACGCAGGTAGAATCAGAATTCGAATAGAAAAAGCAGAAACTTTCCGAAAGTTGGAAGGGCAAGGGCTATTGCCCCTTTCCGTCCCCTGTTTCTACCCCAGTGTTTAAGTATACATATTTATATATATATATAAATAATAATAATAAAAATTAAAATACATTAAATATTTAAATTATTCTTTCATTAATTCAAACGAACGAATTAATTCGTATTACTCATAATTACTTTGAATCAATTACAATCGAATTCGACTCGCTTAAAGTTATTTTTATGAGGTAATTAAAAGATTACTTGAAAAAAATCAGATCTGAAACGTGCAAACATGCGCAGCCTTTTTTGATAAGTTGACATATCTGAAATATTGCTCGGATTGTTATGTAATTTTTTTTAATATATATTTTTTTTCCCGCGGTAGGATCTAAAAAGCAGTTAAAAACTGATTATGAAATCTGTTTTAAGGGTTTTAATATTTCTAAAATCGCTCGTAGCTAACTTAAAAACATCAGTATGACGCAAAATTATATTTTTCGATAATAAAATGTGGAAGAAAGTGATGGAAACATATAGTTTTATATATTTGTAAAACATTCACTATTTTATATATAAGTAAGGTAAATTATAAAACAGTCACATTTAGGATAAAAAAACGAATTTTTTTAAGAATATCCTTCAAGTTTGATCTTTAGTTCTTTGAGTTCCAGCACTCAATAGGACAACCTACTGTTTCAAGATAGTCTTTGCACTCAATAGGACAACTTAATGTTTCAAGATAGTCTTTGCACTCAATAGGACAACTTAATGTTTCAAGATAGTCTTTGCACTCAATAGGACAACTTAATGTTTCAAGATAGTCTTTTAGAATTATTAAGGCAATAATTCTTTTTTATGTTTTGTATTATGTCCTTTAAATTTTGTTCACATTTATAACACAAACTCTTCACACCAAAAAAGGTTAAGAATAATTTGGTTTTTAATCTGATTTAAAGATTAATTAATTAATTTTACTAATTAATTAATTTCAAATAGTTTAAATTGTTTTACTGTATAGTTGTTAATATATATCCTAAGTCAGTGGCAGGTTTTAGGAAGGGGGGAGGAGCATGAGGGTAGTAGCCTCTCCCCCCCCTCCTTTAGGACTTTTGTTCCGAAATATTTTTTTATAAATTGAATATTATACAAAGTTGGACTATTATAATGACTAATGAAATTAATTATTATACGTAATTATACGTATATGAACTTGATTATTACACTAAAGAACAAAAATTATAAAAGAAAGTTACTTTTAAATCAAAAAACGCAGACCTTTTTTTTTTTTATATCTACTTTGCCCCCTCCTCGACAAGTGACAAAATCCGCCCCTATCCTGAGTAAGGAACGAATATTATTTTTACTATGTTTGAAAACGTTTAGGAGTGACTTTAGTGCGTTTCAACTATATAAAAGCTTTTGCATTTAAACTTCTCTGAATAATCGTGTTGCTAAAATCAGAAGTGAAACATTAAAAAATTTATTGTTAATTTCCTAAGCTTTTGAAAATTTTAATCTAATTGTTCTTAAAATAAGTACCTAAAAAAACCTTACTTCCTTCGGTCATATTCAAGATATATAATATTTACAAATTATATATTATGCGTCTGAAATAAGACCGACGTAAATATAAATGCGTTTTTTAAGCATATTGATCAGAAAAAAATGTGTAATTTGTTTTTTACTTTTGGCGAAACCCAATTTTAATATTTAAATCATTTCAAAAATAAATGGATACTTAATCTTGTAATTGTTGCTTTGATAATTGGTACGGCTAGTCGAGTATTTGACACAATTCAGACGATTAAATTTTAGTTTTGAGGACATTTTTTTTTTTTAATTTCCAAAAGCCAGTCGGTACTTTTTAAGGATTCACGGCTCCCCCCCCCCCCCCTCATTTTATTCGTCTGCTTGTATCTCATTAAAAGTATGAATGTCAGATTTTTGGCAAGGTTACCAAATGATTACGCACAAGTAGTGAATGCCTATGAAAAATAGTAGATATTACTAATTATACCTGGATATACCCATGTTGGAATTAATTATTTCAAAAAATAATTATTTCTTAAAAGTCATTATCATTTATTACTTTTTTTTTTTTGTTTTTTTTTGAAATTGTGTTTAAAATTACTATGAATAACTATATTGCTAAACCTTGAGATAAAACATCAGAGAATATTTTTACCGACTTTTTTCACTTTTCATTTAAATCAATGAGAAGACACTGAATCATTACACGGCTACAACCCCTCAAACACTGTCGTTATACTACAGGTTTTTCACGCAAATTGTAAAATAAATAACTCTTTTTCAAATTTTTTTCAAATTTGAAAGCTCTATTATTTCATATGGGTTCAACTGTACATTAAAAAAAAAAATTTTTAAATTTTTTTTTGTGTGTTGTTATTATGGTGTGTTTTTTAGTGTGTGTTGTTATTATGGTGCTCCCAATAGTACTTAAGAATTTATCACGGAGAACTGCAAAAGCATTTAACCTGGAATTTTACGGCTCTATCCTTACCAATATCGCTTGTTGGACAAGAGCCGGCATTGAACCTCGGACCTCTTGGTACCAAGTCAGAACTTTAGTGCGCCAAAATTTAATTTTGCACTAAAATTTTATTTTTGCCAGATTGTTTTACTTTTTTTCCACCCTGAATAATTAACATATTGTTTTACTTTTTTTTCCACCCTGAATGATTAACTGATTATTAACACCCTGCTAGTTAGCTAACATAAAATTTGATAATATATAAAAAAAACTTAAATTTAATTTTTGATAGTTCACAAAATGTTTGAAATGATTAGCTGTTATGTTTACGTCAAAAAATATTCATAAATATATCTGCCCACACTTTAAAAACAAAACATTTTTTTAAAAAGTGTCAAAAATTTGTCGTATTAAATATCATCTAAAAAGTTTGTCGTGCTAAATAGATTGTTTAATTAGATAATTTTTGGTAATTTGTCAGCAGATCACCGAAAAATTAGTCGCATTTATCACCGACAAATCACTGACAAGATCACAATATCACTGACAAACTTGTCGCACTTAATAGATTCTTTTAATGAGATAAGACTTGGTTATTATTATTATTATTACTAAAAAAAAAAAATAAAACTGGATTGACTTTAAAACTCTACAAGTAGAATAAGTAATTTGACATTTTAAAAATTCAATAAAAAAGATAAAGAAAGTTATATATTAAATGACAAGTACGTGATAGTTATATTTAATGTAGTTAGAAAAACTGTTTACGGAAATTTTGCAACAGTTTTGTAGAAAATATACCCTATTTTAAATTAAAAACCGAAAATATACCCTATTTTAAATTAAAAACCTACATTTTATAAAAACACTAGCGCATTAGTATTGAAAGCATTATTATTTATTGTGTTTAACATAAATCACTTATAGTGACTAAGGTTATGTTCTATAAACAATAATGTTTTATTACTTTCCGGTAGTAAACGACCGAAATCAATTTTTGGTCGAAACCGAAATTAGGCGAAACCAATGTCATAAAAATATTTCTATGATAGCTATCTGCACTGATGGTACC